TCTTCTCCTCTTCCTTCTCCTTTTACGTATGTTTGGTTTCTTTCTGTCAGTGGTTTTTGAATCATTCACTGTCATTACAATCATGCACCATATAACACCCTTTCAGTCAGTGACAGACTGCATGTATGATGGCAATCCCATTAGACCATATGGTCGATCTAGTGATGTCATAACTGTGTTTGTGTAGGACACTTTATGATATTTGCACAATGATGAAACCATCTAGTAATGCACTTCTCAGAACATAGCCCCATCATTAGACAATTCCGGACTGTATACGACTGCAGAGAGTCTTGATCCATCCACCAGAAATACCAACAATTGAGACAAGAAAGGGTTGGCTTCTAGGGATGTCCTAAAAAAGGCCAGTTCCTTAGGAAACAACAAAACAAACAATCTTACTTCTTTTCAATGATACTTCCAGTTTATTTACCCCCAAAGCATCTCAAAGCCATAATGGTTCAAAAGCAATCCATGATCTCAGCACTTTAGGCTTTTAAGTTTGAACTGCTTATTCCATTAAGGTCATGCTGGGACCTCCCCAAACCATGTGTCCTTTCCTCTGGGTCTATTTGACCTTTGGATTCCAGTCATGTCCACCACTGGCCCAGCCTACTACTGACAGGGTCATGGGTGGGACAAATGTGTTTGTTCCTCTTGATGCATCTGAGGCTGTCTTTGAGCACACTGGAAAGCAATGGGATTTGGGCATTAGTTGCTGACCCTCATCATTTGAGCTGCCTGCTTTTCTCTGTCAGAACTCATTGTAGATATTTAAAGTGAACTGTTAGTTTCACATAAAAGTGCAGGAAAGTTTACAGTCAGAGAATAGTCCAAAGTCTATTCATTTGTCACCTGCCATCTATTTTCCAGTTCAGGTGAGAAAGATGTATTTTCCATTGCTATTTCAATTTGTTTCCATTCTAATTCAACAGTTTCAAATTACCATCTACTGGGATCCCATTTTACTTGCCCCCATGTAGAATTCTTGACTCTTACATGGTGTTGGAAAAGGCCTGAGCGAGAAAATGGAGAGAGATTTTTGGATGCTTAAAATTTAAATCCAGAAGGGATCTAATAAATAACCTAATCCAACAACCTGGCTCTTTAAAAAAACCCAAAGGTCCGAGGAGGTGAAATGACTTTGCCAAGGTCCGATGACTAACCAGAGAGTGAGTTGCAGACCCTGGAAGAGAAATGCAGGCCACAGTGCTTTCATGACCAAATAGGTTGGGGACTGAAAGCCAATGCTCTCCCAGTCTCTCCAACTAGCAGCTCAGGCTGAGGCTGATGCCTGGTGGCTAAGTCAGCCTTATTACTTTCTTCTTCCAACTGTGCTTTAAACATCTCTTCTTGTGTTCTCATCTCTTAACAGAGTCGTTATTCAATTCGGTAGGGGGCTTGCTTTCTGTTGTGTGCAAGTTCCCTCTGTAAAACATGAAGCAGTCTATATATATATATATATATATATATATATATATATATAAATCCAGCAATAGATAAACCTACCATTAACTGAACATTTTCTCTTAGAATTGGTCCAGAATGCTTTCACAATTTTTGCCCAGTGTGGGGACAATGACTCACCCTGGATATTCCATCACCAGTGCCCCTGTTCACACTGAGGCCAGAGCAGAGGTTTTCTTCCAGCTTAAAACAGGGAGGTGCCATCCATTTGTTAAAATGAAATAAATGTTCTCTGCAGCTTGGGCTCCCGGGCAGTAGACAAGCCAAATAAATGCGGAATTGCTCTTTTTTTCTCCAATTCTATGGTTTCAGACAGAATACAATATCTATCCATTGTCTAACACAGCCCATTAGCCACCTGGCTGACAGAAAATAATCTTAAATGGACACTTTGAAGATGGGTCAGCCCACGGCTTTTTTCACATAGGTTTCAATCTTAATAGAAAACTATACTTAGCATTTATAGAACCTTGTCAGTCAAAAGTCAGGGGCTATACCGAGTCACAATTCCTTCGATTCCTTTTTTGCTAAAAGGAAAAGTAGCACTTGGGTATTGTTGTTGTCATTATTATTATTACTATTACTATTATTATTATTATTTTGAGAACATGATGAGATGCCAACCTAATTTTTTTTAGCCTTAACTCCTTTTTAAAGTTAAAAGTCTTTGAAAAATCATCAGCTACACAGCCTTTGAGCTTCACTTCTCTCAGCTCTAAAAACTGGACAATAATATCCACCCAGCAGAAGTGCAAGGGTTAAAGAAGAGAGCATTAGTAAAATGAGTACCCAATGCAGAATCAGTGTGCCTTAGAGATAATTTTTTTTCCCTCTTAGGCATATAATCCTTCCGATAGTCAATTTTATCCCCCTTCCACGAAGCTAAAGAATGCCACCTGAACAGCCACAACAGGCAACCCGGGCCTGTTCTCATAGCAGGAGGACAGTAAATTTTGTTAAATAAATGGAAATGAAGCTTGGTGTGACATCCTCCCCTATGACTGGGCTACAGAACTGTCTTTCCATTGAAGGTCATTGGCCCACACAGAAAAATCAATCAAAGGCTCTGACCTGTAATATAAATTATCATTCTTTTAGCAAAAGCCAAGGGAAAGGTTGAACTGACATCATTTCAAACATCAAGAAAGAGTAGTCCTGCTTCCAGTATGGCTGAGTAAGCTCCTACTGGGCTAACTCTGCCATAACTAATGACTACAAACTCTGGACAAAATACTAAAAACACACAGCTCCCAGAAGGCTCTGACGATTAAGCAACAGTGAGCAGAACCTTGAGGGGAGTCAACCTGGGGAAGCAGGGGGGAAATGGCATGAGCTTCTGATTTTTACAGTATTTAATCTGAAGTTACAGACTGTAAGAGGCTACTGAAACTCCTATAAGCAAATCTGAAGAGTTTGGAGCAACCTGAACCCAAAATAATGATATAAAATTTGAGCTATCACCTAAGAGATAGCTTTCAGTCTGAAGCCAATCAATTTGATTACCTGCTTAAAAAGAAAATTGCTCTTAAGGAGGAATGTAATAGAATCTGGAGTCTCCATAACACTCACAATGTCCAGAGCATAATTCAAAATTACTGAACACATGAAGAACCAGGAAAATGTGAACCATTCTCAAGAGAAAATACCATCAATGAAAACTAACCCCAAGATAAACCCAGATGTTGGAGTTAACAAACAGGGATATTAAAACAGCTGTTATTACTATGCTGAATGACTTAAAGGAAAATATGCTTGCAATAAATGAAAGATAGAAAATCTCAGGATGGACATTCTTAAAATGGACCAAATAAAAATTCTGGAACTGCAACACACAGTATCTGAAACAAAAATTAAGAAAAAGACACAAATTTTATTTTACTTATTTGAAGAGAAGAGTTACAGAGAGAGCATGGGGAAGAGACGGAGAGAGGGGTCTTCCATCTGCTGGTTTACTCTCCAAATGGCTGCAACAAGCAGGGCTGGGCCAGGCTGAAGCCAGGAGCCAGGAACTTCTTCAGGGTCTCCCACGTGGGTGCAGGGTCCCAAGCACTTTGGCCATCTTCTACTGCTCTCCCAGGCATATTAGCAGGGAGTTGGATCAGAAGTGGAACAGCCAGGACTTGAACGGGTGCCCATGTGGGATGCCTGCATTGCAGGCAGTGGCATTTACCCACTATGCCACCATGCCAGCCCCCGAGACAAATTTTATCAAGCTACTATTTCTAAGTATATTTGATTCACATATATCATTTAAGGTGACAGGAAAGAAAGAAGAGGCATAGAGAAAGGGGGAAGCCAAAAGAAAATGTTGGAGAAGAAAACAAGAGTTACAACTGTCGCTCCCCCTCTTCGTGGAGGAGCAACACAGGACCCTGCGCTGTTCTTTTGTCTGCTCGGCCCTTCCCGGGTTTGCTGCTGGTTCTTCCCGGGTTGGCTACTATCCCTTCCACCTCCGTGGAAGGGCAGTTCCCCCTGGCCACATTCCCCACTTCCGCAGGGGAGCGGCACACCGCCGGCCGGCTTTCTCGGGGGCTGCACAGGTGTTCCCTTAGATGTTCCCCTTAGATGTTCCCGGTGCATGCCGTCTCTCTCCTCCTTTATAGTCCTCCTCCGCCAATCCCAACTCGGCTGCCCACACGCCGAGTACGCTGCTCTCCAATCAGGAGCAAGTCCTACAGTTTATTGGTTGAACTGGAGGCAGCTGTGTAGAAGCTGTTTCTCCCTTCTCAGCGCCATATTGTGGGAGAGCAGATGCATAGAATAAGTCTTAATTCCAGTAACTCAGTCCAGTCCGGGCTGCTCCCCACAGATCCCCCTTTCTTTTTATTTTTTGGCGTTGATACGCGCCTGTCTTCGGTGTCCCGCGGCACACACTCTGCTCTACTTGCTAGAGTTGCCACAGGTTCTTACAAGTCCTATCAATCAGGCAAACCGAATCCGGGTCCTCTCTTCGCCATGTTGTGAGGAGGTTTTTAGGCGCTGATGCGTGCCTGTGTTCGGTGACCTGCGGCTCATACTCTGGTCGAGCCGCCTGCTGGCGCTTACCGCCTTAATCAGGCAGACCGAATCCAAGCTTTCTCATTGCCGTATTGTGGGGGAGACTTATTAGTGTTGATTCGTGCCTATCTTCGGTGACCTGCAGCTCATACTCTGGTCGAGCTGCTTGCTGGTGCTTACCGCCTTAATCAGGCAGACCGAATCCAAGCCTCCTAATTGTTGTATTGTGGGGAAGCCTTACTGATGTTAATTCGTGCCTGTCTTCGGTGACCTGCGGCGCATAAGCTGCTAGCCGCCGCAGGTGCTCATCGCCTCACTTAATCAGGCAGACCGAATCCAAGCTTTCTCGTTGCCATGTTGAGGGGAGGCCTTTCTATTTCTCTATTTCTCTATCTCCGGGCATTCCTATTTCTCCCATTTTACTTCTATCTTCCAGCATTCCTATTTCTCTCACTTTACTTCTAAACTTCTATTTCTCTTATCCCTGCAGCTTCCCGGCGCCTCGCCCTGCCGGCAGCTTCACGGCTCCGCGCGGCTTCCCGGCGCCTCGCCCCGCCGGCGGGCTCCGCCCCGAGGCTGCTTCTCGGCGCCTCGCCGGCTCTGAGCCGCTTCAGCCCGCGCCTCTCTCATCTGTGCGGCTCGGCTTTGCGCGCACACTCCGCGGTCTCCGCGCTAGCCCCGCGTTCCCTATGTACTTGAGCCCCGCACGCTCTGTCTGCGCGCGGCAGCCTTCCGCGAGTCACACAGCGTAGCTAACGTGTCCGCCACTAGCATTCAATCTAAGTTCCCCGGCCTAGCCTGGCGAATTCAACCCAGCTTACGTCTCCGCCCCACGATTGGCTTCCCGTCTTTGCTTCCCGGCTAATCAGAACGATCCCAATCTGCCTTACGTTTCAGCTTCTGTGTTTCAACTTTTCGCCCCCCATTCCCGGGCTAACTTGAGAATCCCAAAGTGGCTTTCGTTTCCGCCTTGGCCTGCCCCCCGCGGCTTCAATTTCCCTAACATTTTTCTCTACCCGGTATGTTTCCCCAAGCTTTCCTCCAACAATACTCCTCCCTCATTTCTCCTGGCCTCTCCCCACAGTCTGCATCCGAGTCTGTTTGTTCTAGCTTTCACTTTCGCTTTCGACCTTAGAGATTTCTCCCAGCTTCCCCCCGTAGTCCATATCTGAATCTATGCCTAGGCTTTCAATAGCTTCTTCCGGCACCTTTTTCGTCCGGCTTTTCCCTAGGCTGTTTGCTAGTCTCTCTCTCCGATATTTTCCCAGTTCTTCCCGTTTCTTCCCTCCTAAGTTTGCTATCCGTCCTAGGTTTCCTATCCGAGTCACGGCACCATTATGTCGCTCCCCCTCTTCGTGGAGGAGCAACACAGGACCCTGCGCTGTTCTTTTGTCTGCTCGGCCCTTCCCGGGTTTGCTGCTGGTTCTTCCCGGGTTGGCTACTATCCCTTCCACCTCCGTGGAAGGGCAGTTCCCCCTGGCCACATTCCCCACTTCCGCAGGGGAGCGGCACACCGCCGGCCGGCTTTCTCGGGGGCTGCACAGGTGTTCCCTTAGATGTTCCCCTTAGATGTTCCCGGTGCATGCCGTCTCTCTCCTCCTTTATAGTCCTCCTCCGCCAATCCCAACTCGGCTGCCCACACGCCGAGTACGCTGCTCTCCAATCAGGAGCAAGTCCTACAGTTTATTGGTTGAACTGGAGGCAGCTGTGCGGAAGCTGTTTACTTCTCTCCCAGCGCCATATTGTGGGAGAGCAGATGCATAGAATAAGTCTTAATTCCAGTAACTCAGTCCAGTCCGGGCTGCTCCCCACAACAACTAAGGTAGCTTCCAGAAAAAAAAAAAAGGTATAACAGAAGGTTGACAGAGGGGATAGACTGAGGCTGAGTTAGGGGGATGGAGAAAAAGAAACTGCAGCAGAAAAATTTATCAGATCTTAATCGTAAGGCTGGTAAGCTACTTTTGTTTAAGTTGCTGTTCATTCGGCATGAACTGGAGAGGTTTATGAAAAGCCTGAATATATGACTCCTAATCACCTTTACAATGGCCTTTTTTAAATGCCAGGTTTTGCTTAATAAATTGTGAACGAAACTTACAAGATGCCAATCTTCATTATTTCCTTGGCTTCTGTGGGGGGAAGCTTAAGCCACAGTCACCTGAGCAGAGGTTAGATTCTTCATCTTCACAGTACACAAATCACAGAGCACTCCACTCACATCGATCATCTGTGACAACTGTCAGAAGAAATTCCAGCAAGGTGGATACTCAAAAATGGCTCCCTCTCACCAACGTGAGTGGGCTTGGCAATGGACTGAATAGATAGGGCTCTTAAGGTAGCTTGAGAGCATGAAAGAAAAGCATTATTTAGCGTAAGGTCAACTAGAGTCTTGTGTATTTTCTGTACTCCTCTCTTGGCACAAAACTGGCTGCCAGTTAAGCCTATCAGGTTCAATTTATGGTTGAAGGGGGGGGGTGGATTCTGGTAAATAGAAAAACCCTTAAAGACTTAAAAGATAGGAATTTTTAAAGGCAGAATTCCAGAAAATGATAAATTTGATTGGAATAGGGAGAGCTTTTCAGAGACAAAAGCCTATGACTCCTGGAACTGGTGTCCAAGTTGGAAACATGATCAAGGGATTCAAAATAATGGGTAAACCACTGTCCAGTTGGGAACTCTTAGGCCACATGCAGCAAGAATCAACTGAGCAAATTTCTAACTCTCCTATCCTAGTATCAATTTTCAGATGCAGAATCAGACATCAAACTGACATTGCTGTATCCTTTCTTTTCCATTCTATTAAGCCTTTAATCCTCCCCAAATATGACTATTTTCACGCTTACATCCTTATTTGGCAATAATGTTGTTTCTCTGAATTGGTTGTGTTATTTCTGTAAAATGTTTTTGATCACAAGCCATCCCTTATTTGCTTAGGAAAGTGATAAGAATTAGTCTATAATACCATTTGATGGGAAAAAAGTTAATGGGAATTTTAGCATCATATAACATCAAAAAAATAAAGTAAGCTTGCTGATGTACACTTATTCACTAAACTATGTATTCTTGGAGCCAAGAATTCAGGACACTTCCATGATAAAAAAGAGAACTGTAACAGTTGGCCTTGATATAAAAGCTCTTTGTGTACAAAGCAGATGCGGATCTGTAAACAATGCAAGCCTCCTTCAATGAATGTCCTAAATAAATTTAGGCTATGTTTTGCTTTGTTTTTCAACAAAAGCAATGCTAGCATTTCAAGGAAATTCATCATTTTCATCAATAAGAATAAGCTGAGTTATGGGATACATGAAATTGTGCTGGGTTCTCAAGGTATTCAGTATTTTATATGGAAAAAGAAAATTAAAAAAAAGAAAATAAAGAATTTCTTTTGTCAGATTGAAAACCTTTAATGACAACTCAACTTACTGGGCTTTGAGTGGTGTGAGGGTGTGAATAAATACAGTAGCGTCTCCATGGTCAGACAAGCTGTTCCACAGCTGTGCTTTGCTGTCCAAGGCTAACACTGCAAATACAGGAAGACATTCTGAATGTGGAGCCAACTCTTTCTTCCAAGACTGCCCTGCGCATTTTCCCCTCTGCTTTTTCTAAACCGTTTCATTGAGAAATAGTTTACACATCATTGTATATTTATAGTTGTTTAAGTACAACTATTACCTAATTTTAGAACATTCTTATCACCCCAGAAAGAAGTCTTGTATCCATGAAATGGCAAATCCCAGCCCTCCTTCCCTCCAGCCCCTGGCAGTCACTAATCCACATTCTGCTTCTGTAGATTTGCCTGTTCTGGACAAGTCTTATAAGTGGATTCATGTAATCTGGAGCCTTTTGTTTCTTGCTTCTTCCACTTAAGCACAATAATTCCTTTTTTTTAAAAAAAACGTTTGTTTATTTGAAAAGCACAGTGACACAGAAAGAAGGAAAGACAGACAGAGAGAAGGACCTTCCATCTACTGGTTCACTCTCCAAATAGCCCGAATTGCCAGGGCTGGTCCAGGCCAAAGCCAGGAGCCTGTAAATACATCCAAGTCTCCCATGGGTGTGTCAGGGTCCCACGTCCTTGAACCATCTGCGGCTGCTTTCCCGGGCACATTAGCAGGGTACTGAATCAGGAATGGAGCAGGCAGGACTCAAGCTGGTACTTTGATACAGGATCCCAATATTGCAGCAGTGGCTTTATCCACTGTATCCCAGCGACAGCTCCAAGCTCAATAGTTTCAAGGTTTATGACTGTTGTAGCAGGTATCACTACTTTGTTCCTTTTTATGACATACTATTCCTTTCCACTGATAGGCCACATTTCATTTATCCATTCATCAGTGGATGGGCATTAGGGTTGTTTTTACTTTTTGCCTATGATGAATAATGATGCTATGACTGCTTGAGTATGAGTTTTTGTGTAAACATGTGTTTTCATGTCTCTTGGATAGATACATTGGAGTGGAATTACTGGATCATATGGTAATTTCATACGGAACATTTTGAGGCGCTTCCGAACTTTAACAAAGTGAGTATACTATTTTAAATTCCCTGTAGCATCATATGAGAGTTCCAGTTCCCCCACATCCTCTCTAATACTTATTGTTACCTCTCTGTTTGATTAACACCCATCTTAGTAAATATGACATGGTATCTCGTTGAAGTCACTCTCCACTTTTTTTTTTATTTGAGGAGAGAGAGAATGAGAGCAAGAGTTCCCATTCACTAGTTCACTCCCCAAACAACAGCAATAGATGGGGCCCGGCCAGGCCTAAGCCAGAAGCTGGGAACTCAATTCTGGTCCCCAACATGATAGGCAGGAATTCAACTACTTAAATCATACTGGCTGCTTCCAGGAGCCGCCTTAGAAGGAAGCTGGATTCAGGAGCCAAAGCTGGGTGTCAGATTCAAGCACCCCAATATAGGACACAGGCACCCTAACCCGTGTCTTAACCAGTGGGCCAAACTCCTGTGCTGCCTTTCACTTTTAGGCATTGTTGCTATAAATATCCCCAAGCCATCTGCTCCCTAAGGGCTTTTACCTTTACTGTGCCTCTGTGTGCACCTCTTCCCTTCTATCCGGCAGCAAATCTGATGAAGGAAGTATTCCTTTACACATTCATCTAATATGTGCTGAGCACCAGCTCTGCCAGACCCTGGAGAGTAAACAAGAGATACACAGTCCCAGCCCTCATAAAGCTTACAGTCAACAGGGAGGAGGACTATTTTCCCAAGAAAACACTGTCGCGTGCTGGAGGGAAAAGCACTTATTGAAGACCAGCAGAGAATGGCAAGAATCAGGACAGAAGGGCAGAAAGAAGGGGCAAGATCATAAGGGGCCTGTGGGCCAGGGTAAGAAATTTGTGCTTTAAGGATACACGCAGAAATAATGGCTGGTCTAGACAGGGGAGTGGTGTGATCGGATTTGAGGTTTTAGATAGTCGCTTTCGTGGAAGCAGAGAACTAGAGAACAGAGAGCCACATAATGGCAAGCGGGACTGGCCCTGCGGTTACCTGGTTCCAGGAACGGTAGAGATCCTTTCGGTCTCA